AAATAAGGTTAAATTTCTACGATACAATCTACACACTGTTGATGAGGGAAACAGTTTAATAAGTTTGTAGTGCGATTAGACTCGATATGAGTTTGGTTTATAACAGATTTCAATCAAGATAAATTATAATATATAAACATTCATATTGGACGCTTCTAGTCCCTGATTATTATTATTATTATTATTGTTCCCTTGGGTTCCTAGTGGAACATAGGTCTTCAACTGCACGTCTCCACTTGCTTCTGTCTTCTTCTGTGCTTTTCAACTGCATCCATGTTAGTCCATACTGTTTCACCTCCTCTTCACACGATCTCCTCCATGTCACCCTTGCACTGATGACCCACTCGCCGCTTCCCTTTCGGCCTGGTTCCACTCGTGCGATGGCCTAACGCGCGATGTCACCCAGCGGCCGCGTTAGCGAGTGTCCAATCCATCTTCACTTTCTCGTGCATATTTTTCGGGCGATTGGTTCTTGTTTTCAATATAGTTCCAATAGTTTCTTGTTGGTGATTCTTTCCGGCCCGGCCATCTGATCTTCAGTATAGAGCGAAGTCAGTTGTTGGTGAAGGTCTGCAACAAGCTTTTGGAAATATTCTTCGTGACCCTCTCGCCAAGTATCTGATCCGTATAGAAGAACTAACTGACTTTACGTTTGTATTGAGAATCCGACGGAATTTTGTTGTTGATGCTGAGTGAACACGTTTCGTTGAAAATCACCTTCTGAGAGTTCCAATGGTCTTCCACGCATGGTTCTTTCGTGATGTCCCTGATGGCATTATATAATTGAGAGGATTACAGTGCAGAGTAATAGTAATGCCTTATTATCTGGGACATACTTATACTACTGATGATAAGTTTGTATACTGGGGTTTGAAATGTTTTCAAGTAGACAGAGTTGAATGTCTAACTATCTGTTTCACATGTCTTATATGCTATTGGAGTATGAGCAAATGAAACAGGATTCAATACACCGAATATCTGAGTGAACACCTCTCCAATAACATATACAGCATTTTCATTCCAGCACATAATTTAATTAATCCGGTGATGGCAGGTCTGTTATCAAACCATTTTCCAAAAACAAAGATAACGATAATAACATGTCATTAATATAAGAATAAAACTGTGGTAGAGTAAAATTTCTTTATGGGTAAATTTTTGTTTTAGTAAAGTCTCACAGTGTTATACAGTAATGTTTACTGATAATGTACAGTAAACAATACTGTATAACACTGTGAGACTTTATCAAAACAAAAATTTACTCATAACAGAACAACATGTCAGATGGGTGAAGTGGGTGGGATCAAGGAGATTAAGGTAACAATAAGAGAGTAGGAGTAATTACACCATAAATTCACGGAAATTCAAACATGCGGTTATATATCTCACAGTCTGTCTGTATGATGAATACGTAGAAGACTCAGAATAAATGAGTGATGAATTTACAAGAGCAGGTGGCATCAGTGGAATAAGAGGTCGATTATCTAGGCTAACTCACAAAGAAACGATAATAGTTTCTAATTAGTGCATATTACGAATAAACAGCCACTATATGCACGAATATAAAGGTGATCAAAGTGCAGAAAGCTACAGTATTAATTTCTTCTGAACACCCAGACTGTAATTTTCCCAGGAAGATTTTCATTACTTCTGTTGTCTGTGAAAGGTGAACTAGCGAATTCTACCACAGAGAAAAACTAATATTTGATAAAGTCACCGCGTTATACAGTAATATATACTGATAACCACGTTCCGAGCACAATTGAATACTCATAATCATATCAGGACATTCATTCAACTTTGTATACATATATGAGTAACAAACTGATTAGACGTAAGAATGAACAAACAAAGCTCAATATGAAGTTCAGTGAACATGGGTGAAATAGATGATAGGAAAACAGAGTATATTCGGAATGGTGAATGCAACAAGATTATTCATTCATATGTGTAAACAAAGTTGGAAAGTTGTCTGGGTGCCTTTATTTGTTTATGAGCAATAAATACTACCCTAAACATGGTCACCAATGTATAATGCTGTGCCTTTATCACATAAATTCACACTGTGATGGAATTATACTCTATAATAAAGTCCAAGTTCTATTCTTATTTCAGTGAACTCGTAAAGTAAAATAAGGGATAGTTAGCAGGAGTAAGGTGATAAATTCATTAAAATGCTTTGTGAATATCAGTTATATGTTCATTGTGGACGCGATGTACCAGAATAATGCTACAAAGTTTGTTGGTTTGTGTCTTGTCTAAGCTTGCAGCATGATGTTACAACGTTATAAGATAGGCATTTTTAGCTGTAAACATCGAACCTGTGTGTTCCAAGGAATTTCGCAAAGTCAGTCTCTGCGCATTGACCAATTTTATACTCATTCATCCAAAAAATGACCATTTCTCAGTGTGCACTAATTACAAACTGTCGTCACTACCTTGTTAATTTGGCTAATTCACTCATGTTATCCACTAACATAAATTCATTATCCAATTCATCCGTTCTCCTTCTTCTCTTCACTATTCATCCTATGAACTATGCAGTGGATGAGCACGAGTTACAAGTTTCGTAATGCCATGGAGAAATGATAATAGTAATGCTCTTAATCAAAATGATGCTCCGATTACTGTGGAATTCGAAGCACACAACGATGAACCCAATGGAACATTTCCTTTGTTTTGTGTATATTATGCTGAAACATAATTGCAAACCTGTATGTTCTCCACCAGGATAATTAATTTATCATGACAATAGCAGTAATCACAACAAAATATTAATCAAAAATGCCCATTAGAAATTTCAAAGGACTGATTACTGAACAGATAATATGCTCTCCGGTAACTTCTTCAACAGGTTCTATGGTTCTGTATCCATAATAATGAAAGAATTTGGGTTATTAAGAACACTAGTGTTTGAATAACATCATATAAATGAAGATCGTCTGATTACAGATCAATATCATCTGTAAGTGTGATAATGTGCAACAACATAACACTACTCTGAATGTCACACAAACGAAGGAGAATAATAATACAGAATTCATGAATTTATAGGTTCCACAGAAGGCCAGGTTAATAGTAGTGGCTGGAACTGGCTCTTCTGCACACGGAGCACCAGTTGTTTTAGGCGAATCGTCATAGCCTCTGTAGTTTGGAGTATACGGTATCTGGATGCTTTCGGCAATTTATTTGGTATCCGATAGATGATGGAGAAGGATTTTCGAATGCTAGCTTTGTGACCAGTTAGTGCAGGTGGTCTAATATTGAACTGTTGATGTTATTCACTGCAATATATTATCAGTAGAAAGCATGGAGATAGCCATTTATTTGACGTTGTGAAGTTGTTAAGTAATTCGCGAATGTCAACTAAATTGCCAATGAATTTATATTATACAGTTGTGTGAGCGTATAGTCTTTCTATTTGCTCCATGTTCTGCCATAGGAGGTGCAAGCGAAATGTTACGAATAAAGAGCGCGTTAAGAGTTAGACAAAGTGATTTTTCCAATTTCGCACATTAGTCCAAATGTCTACTGATGATGATATCAACAAATTGGCCTAGAAGTACACCACTCAGATTACTGACAGCTTGTGGAGTTCTTCGCAATGTAAAAGTTGTTTTTTAGGCAGATCAAGAAATAGTAGAGAGGGGATATACGGGGAAAAAACAGTCTACAAGAATCGACGCCTTGTGAAAGTATAGGCTGAGTTAAACAAAGTGTTCCAACTTCCTTACATAGTATGTTACAGAAAATACTTTCCCAGAAATCATCAGGACTTCGGACGATCACGAAAAATTAGAGGAAGCAGTTAACCTAAAACACGTAATACTATATTTAATTTCTACTTTACCATCCTCTACGTCAGAATAACTACAAGAAACCAACAGTTCGTGTGAGTTTCCTTTACATCTAAAAGTCAAATTAGTAGCATGACATATGGATTTACTCAAAGTGATATCATTTGTCAAAGATCACTAGCTGAATTCTAAGAGACGGCCATTCATGTCGACAGAGTCCAGCTGGGAGGGAGCAGATACGATAACAATCGGGTCATCAGCATACTTAAGGAAATCAGTATCATCACAACTGGTTGTGTCATATGAGAAGAGAGAGGTTATAAATGCTACAGAAATGCCACCTTGACGGAAAGCAGCTCTATTGTGCAATGCGTTGGATGCGTTTCCTTTACATACAGTGTATATTGCTTTGTCTAAATTCATAAAGAGAAATAATTGTTTTAAAGTCATTTTACTTCTCTGCTTTTATTGTTGGTCTAATCTCTTCGATTAGTTATATCAACAATTATAATTAGCCAATCATGTTAAGACTGTCTATTGATTTGTTCATTTTGAATATTCGCTCACACACTTGTTTCACACACTTATTCGGACATTCACACTATTTTGCTCTCACACACTTGTGTGACATTGCTTTTCCTTGTGTTTGGAAAATAGAAGTATCATCGCAAACCTAGTGGTCTTCTGATTTCCGTCTTTTTCTTGCGTCAGGACTATTAAATTCTCGACCAGTACATAACAATAATTTGGCGACGGGAAAACTACTATAATTATAATTATTGTTGATATAATTTCCTTAGTCAGTTATCACCCATGTGACACGTTGATGTTCAATGACGATTGCTAACAGAACTAACATCACCACGCTAATAAATTATGCTTTGTAGTAAAACTGCTGTCACTGCTATCATACAGTTATTTATGAGGATACCATTACAGGATAAGCATTTCTTCATTAAATGCGTTAATAGGTTAAACAGTACAGCTTGTGAGATTGAAACGTCATTCAATGCTCATTTAAAAAAATACCTGTCACATAAATGAAAACATCTAAATTCCAAAAATACACACAAGTACACTCATAAATCATAATATTCGAGAATTCCCATGATAACAAATTCAAACAACCTGTTTCATTACGAATAACAATCGATGTATATTAAAATGTTTTGAAACACACTTGTGTATACACAAAAATCTTACCCAGGTTCAATAAACGGTTCTTCTGCATATGCATCAATAGTGTCTTCTTCACGTACATTAGTAGTTTCTTCTCTAGGCACATAAATAGTATCTTTTCCAGACACATCAGTTGTTTCTTCATCTTCACCTGAAGGTTCTTCTTTAGGCTTCGCTGGTGGCGCTGATGTAGGTGGAACTGGAGACTGTTTATCAGGAGGTGCTTCATATTCGACATTCATCAAAAATGACTCCTGGTAGGTACCATAATACGAATAACGTATGAGATACAATTTCTGTTTTCCCCAATCAGGTCCCTCCAAACAAACTAGACGACCATTGCTTTTCAGCTGTTTTTTCAACTAAATCATTTGTTCAAAGAGCAATGGACCACAGAAGAAAATATTTACATCATTTAATCATGAGGTAATCGTGAGTGAAAGCTAGAAACTAAAAATGACAGATTGATAAGCCAATATAGAATTTTACTCAAATGTGTGTCAACTGAATTTCCAACACCTCAATACATCATGTAAAGACAAGCCCATATGAACAGGTTATCGTCAAAGTAGTGAGAAAGGGATGTGATAGGAAAGGTGTTTCTTCGAAACAGTGACAATGTAGTTTTGGAAGCAATGATTGTTAAGATCTAATCAAGTTGACACAAATTTGGCTTAAAATGCTTATGAAAAGTTGATAATTTTTTTATTTTGATTACAGCTTGATTCCACACCGTATTTTTAGTACAGCCATGGAATTTTCAGCATGTGAAATCGGTAGCCCAAATTTTGCAGGCCGACCATTGATATCAGGTGTGCTTAGGCAGGGGGTCAAACCCTGGACCGTGTGCATGGTCGGCGAGAGTCCTAACTGCTCTGCCACCGACGCACACGATAAACACTAAATATTTTCTTTCAAAAAAGACTTACTCTGCTCTACTGCCCGGCAAGAAATATGGTATAACTGAAAGCTTTCGGCTTCTTATTACTCACTCGACAACTAAATTTGATATACAATCAATAATTTTTGGTAAACACATATACGGTTACATAGCTCTAATTTTAAGTATTTAGCAACAAATTTACATACACCACTTTCTCTTCTTCAGTGAACATACATATTGCATCCATAAAGGCGAACAGACAGTTAGCCAGAGGAGACAAAACGGAGTTATATACATATGGCTCATGAATGATTTCAACTTACATATACGAATAAATTTTCAAATTTATCACAGAAGAAAATGCTACTCTCTAATCATTACAACTGCTGGAAGCAGTATCACTGATAGTATCAATTAATAAGACACATTTGTTTGCCTGATAGATTTGCTAGGAGGAGGATGCTCCTGGTCAGTTTTTATGCTCATATAGAAAAGTAAATAACAGAGACTACTAAAACACCAATACTTCATCCATTGCGTTCGAGAACACTTCCCAGTTTGGCTAAGCAAAGGAAGGAGACCTTAGCGGTATTAATTCATCGATATTGCAACATATTGTAGGTACTGACCATGAAGCAGTATCTAACACATTGTTTAATATAGTCTACAAAGTTTTCCGAAAGGGACACGAGTGTATTTGAGCTTGTAGACGTAAGTATTTAGGAATGATTTCACTTTTCATGCATCGAAGGTTGAAAATACGATGATTTTCATATCTTGCTTCGGTTTGTGAGTTTGTCGATTAGTCTTCGTACAGGAAGACCATAAGTCATATTAATATATGTGTAAAACTTGGGCAATGTGGTAGTAAGTAACTCCATATTGGTTTGTTTAATAGATGTATTACACAGTCAGTGAAACAGTATTATTTACTGGATGAAACTGTTTCGAACAAAATTTTTTGTTCATAACCATATCAATGGCGATATGATATCAATAATGATGTGATTATGAAGAATAAATTTTGTTCGAAACGTCATCCAGTAAATAATACTGTTTCACTCACTGTGTGATACATCTAATAAACAAACCAATATGGAATTACTCACTACCACATTGCCCATGTTTTACAGATATATTAATACGAGCTGATCCTATTCGGCTCCCTAAGCTGAGTCGGACCGGGTGGCGTTGTGATGGGCCCAGACCCAAAACAGCGATACTGGCGTTCATTGTTTAGATTACTTCGATTCGGCTAGGAAACACTGCTGGTTGATGTGAGTGGCATCCAACTACTCATCTCACACAACCAGTAGTATGTGGCGTGATGTATTTAGGCTGGCTTTACAATCAAGAAGGCTGAAGTTATAAGACATTCACACTTGAAATAGAAAAGTTTTATCCGTCCAAACCATTAATATTTTAATTAACCATACTTAATTGTCTATAGGTATGGTATAACTAATTTTCTTCGAACTGAAAGCGCATATGTGTTATTTTTTTCTTTTCTATTTTGATAAAGTCAGCCTGAAGAAATAAACTGATTGATGAATTCCGTGATAACCGCTTGCTTGAAAATGACTTCTCAGTCTCATCACAACCAGTCCAAAATATCTGCCCACATTAATAAAATAATGCATGAGAAGTACTAAGGGGAAATATGCATTCAAGACGTATAACATGTGACCTCATTAAAACAGATAACTTCCCAATTCTTATTTACAACTTTATCATATTATAAAATTAGTTTTCGTTGAGATTCAGACCTTTTCATCAGTAGACTGTAAATGCCCACAAAGTAAGAAAATAAGAAAGTAAGCACAGACTTACTTCAGGCACAGTAGAACCGTCCTTTGTACGAACAAAAATAAAGTCATATGGTCCATTTGATGACCAAGCAGTTTTATCACCAACGGATGTAAATATTATTTGTTGTCCCAATTGTAAACCGAATTTATCACGTAAATCATTATGTTTCAGCCAATTTTCAACATTTTTCTTAGCCAGATCAGTTAATTCCTTGTTAGGTTGACTTGAAAAAGTGACACCAGTGTGACCAGTCTTTAGGAGAAATGTAAACAAACGACAAATGGGGTACTGCATGTTGTTCTAGCATAATACGAATTACAAGGAATTACTAGTAAGGAATAAAAACTGTTGACTTTTTCCACTTGACCTCAATAAATCTTTCACATAATACTGACTATACACCTTGTGTGTAAATATCCATGATTACATCAATCACAGTTATAATAACAATGTTATATATATATATATATATATATATATATATATATATATATATATATATATATATATATATATATATATATATATCATCAGCACTTTACTTATCTCTAAAAGAGTAAAGATGAAACACTGCCATCATACAACTTATAAATGAAATCCATTAAATGACTAACACATCGTATCTCATTGTATAGACTGAGCGCAGTAACACGGGTAATAGATAGTGCTACTGTACATGTTATCACGGACTAATATCAATTGGAAATTCATTGGAAGCCAAAAAGCACTCAAGAGGTGTTCTGCTCCAGTTCGGAACCACTCAGTAGTGTACCCACGACCCCATCAGGGATCGAAAGAAAGATACGAAGCAAATATCTTCATCGTTCAGTGATTACGTCAAGAACCTGAGCCACCACAAACCAATGTCACCATGCACATGGTCCGGGGTTCGAGCCCACGCCGGCGCACACACGATATCTATGGTTGGCCTGCAAAATTTGGGCTACCGATATCCATGCTGAAAATTCCATACTTGTACCAAAAATACAGTGTGGAATCAAGCTGTAAAAAAAAAAAGTTGACTCTCAGTCTCCTGCTTGTTGTTGCCTACAACGTGGATGTCATGAAGCTCTAATGGGAAACCAAGGGTAGTAGAACTTGGAGTATTGGATTTGAATGGAATGCCTATTGTGGTACGGACAGCAAAACAGAACTCATGGGCCATTAAGTTCCTACGCAGTTGCTGAGAGATAAACTGACATCCTTCGTAACCTGAGGACGCAAGGTTTAATCTCCAGGGCTGTCATGTGTGTAGGCACTACTGAAGAGTTTCAAACTATGTCGAAACAACTGTTCACTGATACTAAGTTTCCCTTTATCTCCCAAATTACGAGAACACCCAAGAGTCTGTATACAGGTAGAAGAGAATTGAGGACAGAAAATTATGCTTGTTAATGAACGCTGATAACTTACAACTGTACATACGCAGAACACATATGATACCTGCTTGTCCTTCATCGTTTATATGATTATCTGTGAAATAATTACTGGCTTCTGATATTCAGATGCAGGGTTTTCATTCATCACTTACTGATCATATCTCGATGTTTATTCTCCTATTCAGATATGACAGCTGTGAACAAAGAACTATACATGAAAAGTTGTCAACAAGTTTCCCATCAGCTAAACTGTACAGAGTAGATTCCAGTTCTGAACCCAAATAAAGTTCCGACACCGATGTATTCAAAGCGCTGTCATTATCACTTGATAGAAGTCAAGAATCGACCTACTTTTTCATACGAAGGCTCTCAAGAATATTGATAACCAATCTTCACAGACTTACACTTCTCATCAAATTTCTGGCTCATAAATTTCTGCCATCTACATTCCATAAGAAGTCCAAATACCTGTTAAGAAAACTAATCCCTGAATTCTGTTAGTATTTGAAACAGGCAAACGAATTAGAGTCAAATACAAGTCGATATGGTTTCCGGTAGAACGGAAACTACGACAGGAGCATATATCTTCCTAAAGAACGTCATTCAGCATTCTATGGTAACAATAAAACACACTGATGAAACAAGAAGAAGGTTCTGATAACAATAAGAAACGAACACAATCTGATAACAAAAACACAGTTGACTGTTGTTGTAGTGTTTTTAGCGGTAAATAATTCCCCAAAATTATTGACCATAGGAATAGATTATGCCTAAGAAAAGAACCACAACGCGACCATAGTAATCATCAGCGAAAATTGGATGCTGACCCGTAGAGTTAAAGTCGACTTGTTTAGCTGAAGGCTTCCGGTCAAGCATCCTCGCCATTTGGTACTCCGTCGTAACACTTTCGTGCACGATAACTAGTTAGCTTAGCTTCCGCTTCAATCCGCGATTTGGTTCCGAAATATATATCGTAATTTGGACAATCAATTGTGGTGTTTTGGCTTGCCTTTGGGACACGAGAATCAAATAAGAAAGAAGTTGTTGGTATAAGATCTTGAGTTAATATACTTCGTACAATTCGCGAACGTCAATACCATCAGACTCTAAGCGTTAATGAATAAATGTTGATTGTTTTAGAAATTATTCATTATACTAAGTAAAGTGGTATCATAATACATTGTATTTGATGATAAATGTTCAAAATACGCCCACAAGAACACTTCGATGTAGATATTGTAGTAATTAGCATAACTCAGCCTCAACGTTTCTTAAGGTCTACACATATTAATCTGATAACTAGTGTTAATATCCATGGAACATTAATCCAAGGCTTTCCGTGAACGACAAATACATCCAACACAAAAATAATAAACATTATATTTTATCAAAACAGACTTACCAAAATCGAAATAGCTGCTGTGAGGTATCCACTGCCTGGCTCAATAACTAAAGCACGTAAACCACGGTTTGTGGTTGTAGCCAACGCACCAATAATACGTGCATGCTAAATGATGGAGAATGAAATCATAAACATTTAGCATAAGCATCAACCTACTGAAGGGAGCATATCTGCACTATAATTAGAAAAAGGGTATTTAAAAGACCACCCTTTATATCTGATTATTTATAAAATTAAATACTCTGTTACACGGTCACATACATCAGGTTATAGGTTAAATCAAATAATCATCAGGTAACACAGAGAAGGATAAAGGTTATCGTATGGTTATGCCTGTATTCACTAAATTAGATAGTTTATCATTCCAAGTTCACAAAACCAATATCAATACAAGGAAATGGGATCCTGTTTAGATTATTATATTCTTCTGGAGGAAATGGGTACTAATCCAAGTAGATGAGTGAATAAAATAAAAGTATGTGTTTCCGTACTCTAGGCAGGTATGACAGTAGAAAGAGCGAAGTGAGCAGTTTCAACATGAGTCATTTAGTTGGAGTTTGAAGAACACGAAATTTGACAATGAACAGTCACCTTAATATTGACGCTCACGAAATTTCTCTCCTTGTTTCATAGTATATTCTAAATGCCGAAGACAGTAGTCTGCCAGGGTAGTGTTCCAGTGAACTATAATGATGAGAACTACCCATCTAATTAAACAGAAGAACTATGTGGTAAACATATGTCAGCATGCCAATATTTATATAAACTTACATCAGCTAGTGAAAGTGTGTAGGAAAGCATTACAGCAAACCTATAACTGTGGAAAATATCTGAATGTAAAGGCTATCGGAAGGTCTTAGTCTGATCATCTGCGCATCGTTTTCCGCGAAATCTGAAAATGCAGACTAAGCAAGTAAGTATAATATGAGAGAATTCAACGGCATCCAAGACTCCTTAGTATGTCCCTATAAGTCACTCCGGATGCAAAGCTCAGTCATATAAGCAAATGGAAATCAAACTTGAAAAGGATAATAAATTTGATATCCGTCGTTAACATCGGGTTATTTTTTGAGTTTAGGCTACTATGATCTAAACATGGTCAGTAGATTAACCAGATGCTTCAGAGCACTACATAAAAACAAACGACATTTAGAAATATTTGCAAAACTGAGTGTGAATACTACCTACATTCCTGTTGAAGTGGCATACACCTTGTTGAATGTATCTGTTGAAGTATACATATAATGGAAATCTGTCGTCAAACATAGGTTATCGTACTAATACTTAAATGACAACATCAAGACTATACTTCCAGTCGATGAATTCACTTTGAGGTCACTGGTATTTTTCTAATCTCTTACACTACAGGGGCATATATGACGCTACATTTAAGAAACTCATATAGAATCCTTCAAATACTTCTCACTATACTGAACTAAGATAATATCTAAATTTTGATGCAGTTTTCATTGGCAAATATGATAATTAACTAAAGCAGATAGTTTAATCTTAAACAATCATTCAAATACGTTGAAAATCGAAATGAACGCATGGCTAAAAGGTAAGAAAAAATTCAAAAAGGGAGGTATGAAAGAGCTTACCATAACCAAAGCACAAAGAAATAAAGATACTGATACATGATGAAAAGTGATATGTTAGAGTGATGAAAACATGAACCAAAAGTAACTAGTAGGCGACAAATATTATAGAGTTGTTGACAAATAAGCGTAAGATTACATATAGTATGAAAAAGTTACATGTGTCTGCTGGTTTGCGAGATACATTTGCTCCACTGTCCAATGTAGAACTGTGAAATTTCGTGAATCATGCGATATTAGTCTTCTTTGTGGGAGAAGTAAATAATGTGTTCCTTGGTGACGTCATTCCTAATATTTGTAGCCGTCACACTAACAGGCTAGACGAAAGCAAAGCAGATATTAGGGGAAGAGAAGTGTACAAAAGGAAGTGGTTACATGAAACAAGATTTAAGGAAAACAGACAAACATCTCAGGCAAAAGAAGTGAGAGAAAACAAGTTACAGAAGAGATGAAATTAAGAGAGGATTCATGGGATGATTGTAGTGTCAATACCGTCCCACAGAGACAGATCTTTCTGTCAACAGATATGTGCAGGTAGTTGAAAGTTACGTATTTATTCAATCATCCCTTAAAACTATCAACTGATAGGGAGGTAGATGTGTCAGCCTACAATGAATTCCATGTCTTGCAAATTCCAAGAGTACAGAAATTAAATAACACATCTACAATACGTTTTTGATGTTTGCAGATTGACCTCATTTAATCATTCTGTGTTTAAAGCGGGGGCATGGTTGCCACTTTATGGTATCTGTTTCTCCCCTCCAAAATCAACCGCTTACGAAGATGTCATCTTGAAGTTCAAATACCACGCCTGTTTAGGCTATGTCAGGAAGGTCATTCCTCGCATCCACTTGTGAACTAGTACAGTCCTCTGGCTAGTCACATTGTACTTTAGCTATAGGTAATTCCACAAAATTATTAGCCACAGCATTCATAACTAAACACCCGATGATTACCTTCCCTGCTTAAGTTGATTTGTTTAGCTACAGACTCACGGTCAGATATCCATGCCACTTGGCCTATCGTCGTGTTACTTTCGTTCGTTCGTACACGATCCCTAGCTAGTTAATCAATCTGGCTCGCATTACGATTTGGTCTCGAAATATACTTCGTAATATGGACGAAGGCATTATGCTTTGGCTTTGGTCTACTAGGAACGAATACCATAGAAGTTGTGGGTATTAGACCTATCGTTATTATAAACCGTACTTTCAGTGAACCTCAACACCCTGAACCTCTAAAGTAGCAACACCTTAAGTCCATTTGCTGTGACCGAAAATGGACCTTCATTCTACAGTCAATTGAGAAAAATGGTGTATGCCTTAGACACTCCCTACATGAATGCGAATTCAGGGTATTAACTCCTAATTTTTTCAGGACAAACCGTGTATTACACTCAAACATTACAATGTACGAGTTGATTTTTCATAAAAAGGATTTGTCTGAGTAAAATCTACTGAACTCACCACACTGGGGGCAAGTATAATACCACCAGAGCCTATTGACTGTTGAATATTTTCGTATGGGTTTTCCGAAACAAAACAACCACGATTCACATTATACATGAGATATTGGAGAAACCTTGCATAAGGGAAGCCAAGTCCTAAATAGAAACCGAGTGAAAATGTACATAAGCGATTACTAAACACTTATTACTCCCGATCTTTTGTATCAAAAGGATATGAGCAGATTCATCAGTTTGACAGGCAGACGCAAAGGCGAGATGTGGAATTATTGCTATTATCAAAAGGCTTTTGAATATTGTAACCCAACTCATAACTTTTCCACGCGGAAAAGAAACAACCACTACGAAATGCCGCCTTCAATATCAGTATCCAATATCCAATATCCAATATCCAATATCGTTTTTACGAGCTAGTATAAACCAATTTGATTTCTTTGTGCTCGCCTCTTGATTGTGAGGTATAGGTTCTTGATCTTCGGTAAACTTCTGCGTAGCTTGTCCCGCCACTCGACTGTCGTAGCTTTGGTTGACTCCAAAGGGAGTAGTGCTGGGATTAATTATATGTGGTTTGTAGTATGAGGTATGTTAAGACTGTTACTACTGTGATTGGAGTTGATCCTTTCGCCAGTTAGTCCTTCGGTATTGTCGACAAGAGAAAAGAGATAGTAATAATAATAATAGTAATAATAATAATAATAGATATAATTAGTGAAGCTATTCAGACTAAGAGACAGAAACGAAAATAGGAAACGTAACAACAGTCAGCTCATGAAGTTTGAAGAATAATATATATATCGGTAATAGTAATAATAATAATAGTAATTATAATATTAATAAGTTGTCAGGAGAGTAAGACGGGAGAGAATGTAAAGAAGTAAAATGACGAGTTTAATTATCTACCCTGATTGGTAAATGCGATTTTAAGGAGATAGGCCATTTGGATGCAGTCCTTGTATCGCTGCATGGTTGTCCAGCCTTCGCTTAAAGGCGTCCAAAGACGGTGCCATAGCTACATCTGCCGGTAAGGAATTCCAGGGACGACAAACCCGCAGTGAAAAGAAGTGGGAGCGCACCCGGGTCCTTGCCCTCTGGTGAGCTATCCTTCTGGGATTTCCACGTGGAAGCCTATACCTACTCAATGGCAGAACACCTTTGTTTGGGTGATTCTGGTCATTTGTTATTTTGTAGGCAGTAATCAAATCCCCCCTAAGCCGACGGTAACTAAGTGTGAACAGGCCTAATTTCTTCAGCCTTTCATCATATGGTTTGTTTCGGAGACCAACCACTCCTTTTGTTGCCCGTCGTTGGACTCTTTCCAAGAGGTTGGCATCTCTTCTCAGCATTGGGGGTGCAATAATATTATGCACCTCAAGGTGTGGCCTGACGTATGTTTTGTACAACATTAGAAAGAGCTCAGGAGTGAGTGCACCTAACTGTCTATGCGTAAAGTGTATGACCGCATATGCCCTCGCTACATCCCCTGTGTAATTTACGCTTGTGTCCATTTTTTCCGTTAGAACTAGACCTAAGTCGCGTTCCGACGTTGTGCAGGACAAGCTTTCATTGCACAGGGTGTAACTTGCATTCTGCAGTCTACAGGTGCGCAACTTCACTACTTTGCACTTTTTCAAGTTGAAAGTCATGCCACTGGCCACCGCCCAGTCTTCCAGAAGGTTTAGGTCTTCCTGTAGCCTATCTGAGTCCTCCGGACACTTTATCGCCCTCCATATTTTTACGTCGTCAGCGTACAGGAGAGTCGGGCAGCTCAGACGGCGTGGTAGATCATTGATGAAAATCAAAAACATCAGTGGTCCTAGGATAGAACCCTGCGACACTCCTGATGACGATCTGTGCCAAGATGATCGGACTCGGTTAACCTTAGTGCAAAATTGCCTGTCGGCTAGGTAGTCCTTCAACCATGACAGAAGTGGCTCACCTATGCCTGCCTGTCTTATTTTATGTAGGAGAAGGTCATGGTGAACAGTGTCAAATGCCTTCTCAAAGTCTAGGAAGACCACATGGACTGGTACGTTCAAGTCCCAGCATGATGTCCAGTCGTCCCAAGCTGACAGTAGGTTAGTGACGCAGGATCTGCCTTTTCTGAAACCATGTTGGGCTTCATGCAGTATATTAGTCCTATCGAAATATTCCCTGATGTGGTCGTCAATAATACTTTCCAGTACTTTTGATACCACTGGGAGTAGAGCTACTGGTCTATAGCTAGCAGCGTTTTGCCTGTCCCCACCCTTGAAGATTGGAGAAAGGATGGCTCTTTTCCACTCCCTTGGCAGGGTCCCCGAATCCATTGAGTGTTGGAACAAGTCGCACAGGGGTCTACAGAGAGCCTCGGCGCACTGTTTCAGAACAGATGGCCTGATGTCATCACAACCTGGGGACTTCCCAGGTATGAGTCGCTGTAGCTTCCTTAGTACTATTGCGGGGTTTATTTGGGGAGTAGTCGCTAGGTCTTCCTCCTCTGAAATAGTGGTGCCACCATTTTGGTCCGTAACTGTAATATCCACATTGCTGTTTAGCTGTTTAGCGAAGGCTGAACTGAATGTTTCAGCCATCTCCAGACTAGTGAGATATTGACCGTTTGGGCCTACTAAGGCGCATGCCCCTTGGTTTGTCGGTTTTCTTTCCGACATGAATCGGTACAAGTTTTTAGGGTTTGATAGGAGTTTTTTAGCAAGGTTAGCCTGGAATGACCTTCTGTCCCTCCTAACTCTTGCATTACACCGGTTCCTGAGTTCGAGGTATGCATCATGGTCGGTCTGACTCTTAGATACACGCCACGTAAACCAAGCCCTCCGCTTTGCTTGCAGAATACGTTGCGTGCCTCTCTTCAACCATGACGTCTTTCTCTTAGGCTGTGTTGTGACTAAAGGGACGGTATCCGAGATTGCTGCATGGATAATCTTTTTTACCACTTCCCAGTGTTCATCCACAGATAGGTCGTCCCATGCTAAGGGCCAGTCTGCGTCGGACAAGAGCCTCCGCATTTCAGCATAGTCAGCCTTGCTGTAGCACAGACATGGTCGCGTAACATCCCATTGCAAACGCTCACGGAGGACAAGATCGAAACCTATGACTGCATGGTCACTGCTTCCCAGAGGAGTCATGATCTGGACCTTTTCGACGAGTAGCTGGTCACTAGTTAGAATATAATCTAGTTTTGATGACTTTCCACTAGGGCCCCACCTAGTGTCGTCTCCAACATTCTCAGTCAGTCCCGTGTTTCGAATAGTTTGCAGTAGGTTTCGGCCAAATTTTCCCTTAGCACACCCGGAGCCAAGGTTCAGTGATGGAGCATTGAAATCTCCAGCTATGGTGATTTGGTCGTAGCCCAAATCTCGTATTCCTGTGATAGTGCTGAGCAGTAGCTGATTGTGCTCTGCCCCACAGGTGGGAGATCGGTAGATGCCACCCAGTAAGTGCTTGGTGTGGCCTACGGTGAAATGACACCATATGGAGTCTGGGAGTTCGATAAGTGGTGGGTCCGTTGCGCGCACACATTTAAGTTGCCTATCAAAGTATATAGCAACTCCCCCTCCTTCCTTATTATCCCTGTCTCTCCTGACCAGTACCATATCACCTATACTGATTTCATTGTCGGCGATAGTGGGGTTTAGCCACGTTTCAGTAAGAATGATTATTTTCAGTTGAAGGTGTGCTTGGAGATTTCGGAGTTCACCTACTTTCCCTCTCAGCCCCCTCACATTGCTATATAGGCAACTGACAGTGAGTCTAACAACCTCAGAGTGTTGTGGGGTAGTTGACGTGAAACCGTCTGCTGGTGGGGGACTTGATGTTGGAACTAGTTGGCCGATTCCGATAGAACCGGCCCGTTGTAGTTTTTTTCAATGGATTTAGGCAGGACACTTGGGAGACACAGACTATTATTCTCAGAGCTGCATCGCTCTAGTGTCACCGAAGCTTGGGGTCGTATTAAAGCCTCAGTTTGCTGCCTCCTTATATTTCTGGGTCTGCTTTCACAGCATCGGATGTGTCCTCCAATTTTTCCCTTGGTCTCATACCACCGTTGAAGTGATATGGACAACTGCTCCGGGGAGTTGAATGTGACACACAGCAGCTTTGGAGAGTTAATCAATGTTAGATGAGCGGGACGAGGTAGTCGGAAAATGGAGATGGCTCCAGAAGCGCCAGGGGCCATCTGAGATGACAGCCATCTCCATTGTTGTACGTCGTGCATGTGTTTTTCACAAGCAGTGCCGGTTTCCAGCTCCGGAACACCGTGTACCACCATAGAGGTGGAAGGCATCAGTTCCGGTGACTCCCTCGCCATATTTCTGACGGCCCATGGTCTATCTTGCCGCGCTCTTATGTTAGAACTTCTGTCCAGGGCTAGTACCTGAGCCATTAACAGTACTTTTTCGGCCTCTTCGGCAGAGTCCAGTGTAACCCGTAATGGGGGTGGCTTACCCTGAGGCGTGTGGACACCCCTGTACAGTCTGCACAGTTTTGCTGAACTAATGTTCAGACCTAGTTTGCCACACAGGTTGGACCACTGTTCCTGATCAAACAGGGCCCGTTGTTCGAGCAAGCTATCCGTGCTCACAGGTACGTTAAAGAGGATGAGAGAGTTAGACCGACTACCCTCAGACTTAGGTTTTGCCTTCGGCTTCTTGCAGTCCTTTGCATCATTAGCAACATTAGGCTTCGTCGGTACCTGGACAGCCTTTTTTGTGTTGCCAGGCTTGCTAGTGGATGCAAGTGGTGCCTTTGTAATTTTGCCCTCCCCTGATGTGGATGGAACCTTGCTAATCTTCACCTTGTGAGAATTGGCATTTCCAGTCAGTAGGGCTGGTGTGTCCTTCTTTAAGTCTTTGACCAGTTTCGGCAGTGCGAGTTTAGCAGGGGGGAGCTGCATGATACTGTGTTGGGGCACAAGAGCATGTTATTTCTGCTATCCGCAGACACGCTTTGTGGGACTATGCCAGGGCGACAAAGTGGACACACGTACCAAAACCATGGGCATGGGTTATTTCTCATAAACTCATAGTATGCTTTCGGTACTTCTTTGTCACAACGGCAGTGCACCCATCGTTTGCAAAAATTACATTCAAACGCTGAATCAGTTTTAGAAACTGTGATGCTGCACGCCTGGCATTCATCCCCTTTCCTTGATGACGCCTTCGAGGTCTTATGACGTCTTGAACGTTTCCTTTTAGGCTTGATGTGTTTCACACACTGGCCTACAGTTGATGCAGGTGTAGAATTCTGTCCTTCTGGTATTGCCTGTGCCGTTTCAGTACTAGACTGTGGCAATGCAGGCGTTGTATCAGGGCAGACTAAAGCTACACGAGTCTTTAGGATCGGTATGCGGGAAGGGGTTGAAATC